CAACAACAACAACAACAACAACAACAACAACGGTACTGTACCTCTGACATGGTGGTGTTCCAGATCTTAGTGACCACTGGTTCCCTGCCGTATTCCTCCTGTAGGGCGGGGGTGGCCCAGGCCCTGAGGATCCCCTCGGCCTGGAGGTGGGGGGCGGCACAGAAACACAGTTTGACTTTTTACTCAACCAATTCTGTCATTCTGAACCAAACCAACCCACTGAGCGAATATAAATCCTGTTGAAGCTCAGCTCCATGGAACAGTGGACAGATGCTCTACTGCTGGGTGGAGACACTGGGAAATGTCCTGCTGTACCTTTGGAGTCTTTCTATTTTTACACAAAGACTGAATGTGATGCTGCTGCTGCTACTGCTGCTGTTGCTGCTGCTGCTGCTGCTGCTGCTGCTACTACTGCTGCTGCTGCTGTTGCTGCTGCTGCTGCTGCTGCTGCTACTACTGCTGCTGCTGCTGTTGCTGCTGCTGCTGCTGCTGCTGCGGCTGCTGCTGCTGCTGCTGCTGCTCCTGTGTTGAACAAGTGTTTTTTAGCTTCACGTTTCCAGAAGAGTGGGTTTTTCCTTTTTCTTTTCCTCTGAATGTGTGTGTGTGTGTGTGAGGCATACACAATGCCTGGGGGGATGCTAGGATACATGCCACAATTAAACGTGCCCCCCAAGAAGCTGGTGGAGTGTCTGTGGGGAGGAGGGAGGGGTTTATTACCAGCGGGCTAATTCATCACTGTCAATCGGCCCAGTGCTCTGACACATACCTTTAAACACACACTCACACAGAAACAGGACAAAGCTGACAGTAACCCACAGCACAGTGAGGCAGGAGACCATCAGACATCTACCAGTAGAGGGGGTCGTGACCACATGATCAGACCCCCAGCTGCTGCTCTCTCCCTCTATCCCTGTTTCACACTGATTTTCTCTACGATCAATATCTTCTTCAGCTGTGATTGATCTGCTAAATGTTGATCAGAGGAATCACAATAACAACACAAATACACTACACAAGCTCTGAAGGAAGATAACGGAAGCTAATAGGTTAATGGAGGATAATGATAGCTGAGCTTTACAGTGGATCACTTCACTCAATAATATTGGGACCCCACTACAAAGTGCCCCCTCCCATGTTATGCTGTAGGGGGCAGTTTCAGACAGGGCAGGGAGAACAGAGAACTCTACACAGAAAGAGCAGGGGATCGAACCACCAACCTTTTAACTGTAAGGCTGTCTCATTTGTTTGACTGGACCCTTGTTTTGAATCTGGGGGACACAGAGTCTGATGAGGACAGGAAGTGATGTCAGTGCTGAGACTGACAAGTGAAAACTGTGTCTGATGTTGTGGTAAATATGATTTTGCACACACGTTCTTAGCTCTGTGTGTGTGTGTGTGTGGGGGGGGGCACATAACAAATGATTGTTGCCCTTTTCACATTTAATAAGGTGAGACTTTATTGATTCGTCTCAGGGGAAATTTACTGGTTACAGCGCCAACATTCAGACCAGGATGACAGAGAAATACAGAAGAGGACGGAGACCAAGAAAATCAATGTCCACATCATGTTCTTCACATGGACAACAGAAAGGAACAGGACTATGACAATATGGGCCACATCTCACCTACCCCATGCCATGCCTGGGTTACACCCTTCTTTGGTCAGACGGTACTTCCCAGTGGGCCACACTAGTTTGTAGACCAGACAGTGGGGTCCAACTAGAGACTTGTCCTGTGGTGGCTACTACAGTAATACTACAGTATTTTGTGGTACACACAGGTTTGTGGAGCCGCGTTTCTCCTTGTTTTGGTCTGGTGACCAAATTATGCTTCTGTTACTGTGAAGATCAGGAGAACAAAAACTTTGCCGTCGTAATTTATCACAGTATAACTGCAGTATAAATACTGTACTGTGTACTGTACTCTGGACTTTTCCAGGTCAGTAATACTACAGTCAGTAAACATGTGGCCACAGACAGGAGGAAGCTTTAGATTAAGCAGCTAACTCCAGCTAAACCTCACCCTCCGACTGCTGACAAATTAAATGTTAATCTGCGTTGGACTGAGTTCTCGCGCTGACGTTCCTTCACTGTTCACAGTCGTCACGCTGATTTATTAACCACGTCATCACACCTACTTCATTAATCCAGCGTGAAGGTCTGTAATAAATCTCCACCCTGGTCACTTCCCAATAACTTGGAGAAGAAAGAACAACCATGACCACCGGCGCCCCCTCATAATGCTTGCTGGAATTGCTTATTAAATCTCCGTTATTCCCACAACCTGAGTGTTATTGGCTCTCGGCCTGAGCTGAGCCGCGGACGCCCGGCGGCCAGGCGGCAGATTTACGCCGCAGATAAGTAGAAGAGAATAGATGAAGGCGTTATTTATCACCTCCAGCCGATGTCTCCGCCTGCTCCGCTCTCTTAGTTATTGACACTGGCTGCTATATATATGTATATGAGCTGTATATGAGCCATAGTCATTATTCTGCTGCTGTGGTGTTTACTGTGTGTTATCAGCAGCAGGAGATGGACAGCTGCCCCCCGCCCCTGCCCCCCTGCAGCGGTGGAGCTGCCCTCTGCTTTGTGTTGGTAATGAACAGATGATGCTAAAGCTAACAATCGACTCTCAACCCCATCAGTGATCTCCTTAGGAAGACAAATCTATGAGTTATGTCCTTAAACAACAGCTCACACCTCCCTTACCTCCTCTCCCCCCATCTCCTACTCCCTCTCTGCCTTCCCCTCAACCTCCTCCCTCATAGGACACAGACAGAGCTGAGGACAAGTCATAGATTGTGTGTGTGTGTGTGTGTGTGTGAAACTTCTTAGTGACATCATGGTCATGTGTGTGAACTATCCAATCAGGAATCAGGACCAAAACGCTGTCCTCTCACAGCACCTTCAAAGTTTTCCACTGACCCCCAGCACCCCCGATCCTCCACCTTTGTCATGTGATGTGACATAACCTGTCACCGAGATGAATAAAAAAAACTCATTATTAATTTAAACAGTTTCTGCAGCTCTCCTGACAGTAGAAGAAGAAACGCCCTGTGTGTGTGCGCGCGCATGTGTGTCCATCAGCTTCTCTCTGCTGATGGAGGCTGTCACATCACCTGTGACCCCTCCTGCTCTGATCCAGCGTCTGATTGGATTAAAACCCACTCCCTGTTTCCTTTATTATGATCTCAGTTTCTCTAAGCTGCTGTTATGGAGCTCATTTAAAGCTGCTCATCATTATATCACGCACTGAATGGAATTGGAACATGTGTGTGTGTGTGTGTGTGTGCGTGCGTGTGTGTGTGAGGGACTAGGACACGTATGCAAATAGACTGTTTAGCATATAAAATGCTTTAGCTTCAATATTTCAGGGTAATAAATTGCTCAAAGTGAGAGACAGGGGCCACGGGCGGTCCCTCACTCATTAAGTAGCTGAATGTAGAGAGCGACACAAAGCCAGTGATTCAGTGACGGCCGTCGTCCTGACGGAGAATTTACATGGAGATAAAATTCCAGAAGAGCTGGATGAAGAGGGAGGGGTGGAACAGAGGAGGGAGGGAGGGAGGGGGGAGACAGGGAGGTCACGAGCACTGGAATGGAGGTGAAGTGAAGAACTTACAAAGGAAGAGTAGGCCAGAGCCACCACCGCTGCTGCCACTTCAGCGATGAAGATGATGAGGATGACGCAGAAGAACTGTGAGGAGACAAAGAGAAAACGTGGTCTGTCTCTGCTGTCTGTCCACTGGAGACAGTGACATCACGTGGAAGGACTGGTCACTGGTAGACTGACGATGTCCCAGCTGCTCCACTGGTTCTTCTGGACCAGTATTTTGGAATGTTCCATTGGAATCATTGTCTCTTCCACATTAGGACTTTATTTTAGCAAAAATGCAATTTTTTTCTCTCTATCATTAACCACATCAGCTACCAGTGAGCTGACTTACTGATCTGTTAGCTGCAGCTAAACTTTTTAGCTAATTAGAGCTAATTATTTCTGGCTGATCTGTGGTCTGTTATTTCTGTGTTAATTCAGGTGGCGCTCTGACAACCAGTAAACACCACATCAGGAACTCCTCCTTCCCTGCGTCACCTACCAGGAGCAGCAGACACTTGCTCTCCTTGGTTGCGCCACAGCAGCCCAACAGCCCCAGCAGCACCAGGACGATCCCGATGGCGATGCAGAAGAAGCCCACGTTGACGAACTGCATACTCTGATCTGAGAACGGACCCAGAATCTTCAGGAAGGAGCTGCCGTCCACCGTCACCCAGATACCCATAGCCAGCAGGGTGAGGCCCCCTAGCTGCAGGAGGAGTTCACAAATTGAACCTGTCAATTTGTGATTTTTCTTTAAACAACAGTGAGTGGTAAAAAATGAACCAATGTGTCTAGAACCCCCCCCACAATGCCCCCTACAGTACCTCCATGGTAGTGCCGTTGAGTGGTTACATCAGTGTGACATGTGACCCTAAACCTGTCCAGAGGCTGAAGAACATGAGCTTCATGTCTGACATGTCAGGATTCACTGCTGATAAATACACATATGTGTACTTTCTGTGTACTTTCTGTGTACTTTGGGGTAGTTTTTCCTCAGCAGGTAATTTCACACTGACACCACTGAGGGACTTGTCAATCATGTGTCTGCCTGGTGGTCTTTTAGGGGGGTCAGGTTCACGGCTCCTCGGCAGTAAACAGTCTCTGGCATCACTAATAAGTCACATTCACTGAAAAGCCGTGGCTCGAGGCCCAGTGTTATGTACGGAGGCTCGGCCACCACTTACCAGTGAAATTAGAAACGGGCGGCCCATTGTCCTGGACCAGCTCTGTCTACAAACACAAAACCCCCCTTGGACACTGGTGTCTTTAATGACTCGTCTTCATGAGACTGAGAATGAAGTCTGGTTTGGAAACAGGAAATGTTGGACACCTAGGGGACAGATGTTGGACACCTTGACCTGGGGGACAAAACAGTCCTATCACAGGACTGTGTCCAAACTACCTCTGGAACTTTATTGACAATTTTTGTATGAAGATTTATTTTGAAACCTGAAGACGGTGTCCATCTTTGTCCTGGTCTCCTGGGTCTCAGACCTGAGACTCATGTGAATCAGGTTTTGTTTTCTTCTGGGTCACTGAGGAACAAATCACTACAATCTCTCCTGAAACAACTGGTAGAACCTGCTCAGAACAAACCGGGTCACATGTGTCACATTACAGATGTTTGTCTTAACTCAATATAACTCTCACTCTCCCCCCTCCCGCACCACTCTCCTCCCCCCCCCACCACTCTCCTCCCTCC